TTCAACAAGATCCACATCTAGACACATCATAATACATCTGTTCCGAGTCAAAGACAAAGAATCATAAAAATGGAAGGAAACGGGATTTATCCCTTATAAGGGATCCTCCATGAGATTAACAGCTGATCCCTCATCAGAAACCATGGAGGCCATAAGGCGGTGGGATGACATATTCAAAGTGATGAAAGAAAAAGACTGCCAACCAATTCTACATTGAGCACAATAATCGTTCAAAAATGGAGAAATTAATGCATTGTAAGATTCAACAAAAATAGAGAGACTCTGTTGCTAGCAGACCTGTTTTATAAGAAACACTAAAGGTAGTCCTTCAGGCTGGAATGAAAGGTCACTAGACAATAACTTGAATCCCCATGAAAAAATAAAGAGTCTGGTAAAGATAATTATATAGGTAAATATAAAAAACCAGCACAAATGTATTTTTATTTATAATTCTTTTTCTCCTATCTGATTTAAAGGACAAATAACAAAATGATAATTATAGAACTGTTTGATGGGCATAATATATAAAGATGTAATTCAAATGATAATAATAACACAACTGAATGGAAAGGAAATGCAGCTATACAGGAGCAAAGGTTTTGTACACTATTGAAATTAAGGTGGTATTATTCCAAAGAAGATTGTTAAAGATGCTAATTGTACTCCCTAGGGCTATGACTAACAAACTAGCTCCAAATAATACAGCTTCCTAGGCTGGCACTCAAGAAAAAGGCCATGTACAATTTGAGTGGGAAGGTTGTGAAGCCAAACGGTGAAAAGCTGGAGAAGTTTGAGTCTGGCATCTCTCAGTGCTTTTATTTTCTTGTAGATATAAGATTTTGGAGTACTTCCTTTCCTTCCTTTTTAAAAAAAATTTGACATTTAAAAAATTTTTTAATTTTTTTCAGAGACAGGGGTCTCTCTATATTGCCCAGGCCAGACTCAAACTATGGGTCTCAAGCAGTCCTCCCACTTCAGCCTCCCAAGTAGCTGGGACTACAAATGTGCACTACTGCACCTAGCTTCTCAGGCTCTTCTTTAAACTGGAAATACACTCTCAGCTAAGGGGGATGAATATAGGAGCAGTCAAGGAAATTGAACTTGGTGGTTTTTAGAAAGCTTTCATAATCTTTGTTCCTCAACTGAAATCTTTCCAGAAAATTTAAGTCTAGCCAGTACATGAATTAGAAAAACACTTCAGTGGAAAGCACATTGTCTTTATTTATCAGAGGAGAATTCTGTTGGACCCTTACCTCACACCATAAAAAAATTCGAACTCAAAATGGATCAGAGGGCTAAATATTAATATAAGAGTGAAAACTGTAAAACTCTTAGAGGAAATAGAACCTGAAGATATAAATCTTCAGGCCCTTGGTTTCTTAGCTATGACACTGAAGGTACAAGCAAAGACATCAACAAAATTGATAAACCGGACATCATTAAAATTAAAAATTTTTGTGCTTTAAAACGTCATCAATACAATAGGAAGGAATGTGCTAAAAATAAAAAAAGACAAGAAAAATTTAAAAAATAAAATAAAATAAAAATAAAAAACATGTCATCAACGCCAGGTGCAGTGGCTCACGACTGTTGCTATGAGCAAGAGCGAGACTCCGTCTCTACTAAAAATAGAAAGAAATTAGCAGGACAACTAAAAATATATAGAAAAAATTAGCTGGGCATGGTGCCACATGTCTGTAGTCCCAGCTACTCGGGAGGCTGAGGCAAAAGGATTGCTTGAGCCCAAGAGTTTGAGGTTGCTGTGAGCTAGGCTGATGCCACGGCACTCTAGCCAGGGCAACAGAGTGAGACTTTGTCTCAAAAAAAAACCCCATGTCATCAAGGAAGTGAAAACCCACAAGATCAGAGAATATTTTTGCAAATCATGTATCTTAAAGAGACTTGTATCTACAATATATGAAATGGAGAACTCTTACACTCAATTAAAAGACCTATAACAAAATTTAAGACTGGCAAAGGATCTGAATAGACATTGGCCAATAAATACATGAAAAGATACACAACATAAAGTCACTGGAAAATGCAAATCAAAACCACAGTGAGATACCACTTCACATTAACTAAGAAGGCTATAATCAAAATGAAAAACAATAACAAGTGTTGGCAAGGATATGGAGAAACTGGAACCCTCATACATTGCTAGTGGAAATATAAAATGGTACAGTCACTTTAAAAAATAGCTGACAGTTCTTCAGAAGGCTAAACATGGAGTTAACATATGACTCAGAAATTCCACTCCTAGGTCTATATTCAAGAAATTAAAACACATGTTCACACAAAAAATTGTACATAAATGGCAACATTATTCATAATAGCTAAAAAGTAGAAACAACACATATATCCATCAACTGATAAATGGAGAAACAAAATGTAGTATGTCTATACAATGGAATATTATTCAGCCATGAAAAGAATGTGGTATTGATACAAATGAATGTAGCTACCACATGAATGAACATTGAAAACATGCTAAATGAGAGAAACTAGGAGCAAAGGACATGTATTATATGATACCATTTATATGAAATGTCAGAATAGGCAAATCAAGAAAGATAGAAAGTATAGTAGTGGTTGTCAAGGACTGAGAGGTAGAGGAAATGGGGAGTGACTGCTAATGGGCATGGAGTTTCCTTTGGGGAAAATGTAAATGATCTGAAGTTAGATAGTGGTGATGGATATACAACTTTGAGTTATATAATTTAAAAGGGTGGGCCAGGCGCGGTGGCTCACGCCTGTAATCCTAGCACTCTGGGAGGCCGAGGCAGGTGGATTGCTCGAGGTCAGGAGTTCGAAACCAGCTCTGAGCAAGAGCGAGACCCCACCTCTACTATAAATAGAGATTAATTGGCCAACTAATATATATAGAAAAAATTAGCCAGGCATGGTGGCGCATGCCTGTAGTCCCAGCTACTCGAGAGGCTGAGACAGCAGGATTGCTTGAGCCCAGGAGTTTGAGGTTGCTGTGAGCTAGGCTGATGCCATGGCACTCACTCTAGCCTGGGCAACAAAGTGAGACTCTGTCTCAAAAAAAAAAATTAAATTAAATTAAAAAATGAAAGGGTGAACTATATCTCAATTACAAAAAGAAATATATGCTATGTATGTGGGTAGTGTGATAAAGAATCATGTCTCTAACTCACTCTCAAATGGTTCAGGGGAAAAAAGTTGTTCTTTTATTGTAACTTTTCTATAAATTTGAATTATTTCAAATGAAAAGTGATACCAAATAATAATGACATTATAGGGATAACTTTTATTCTGCTTCAACCTGAGTGCTTTTTTTTGAAACAGAGTCTCACTCTTGCCCGGACTAGAGTGCCGTGGTGTCAGCCTAGCTCACAGCAACCTCAAACTCCTGGGCTAAAGCAATCCTTCTGCCTCAGCCTCTCGAGTAGCTGGGATTATAGGCATGCACCACCATGCCCAGCTAATTTTTTCTATATATTTTTAGTTGGCCAATTAATTTCTTTCTATTTTCAGTAGAGACAGGGTCTCGCTCTTGCTCAGGCTGGTTTCAAACTCCTGACCTTGATCAATCCGCCCACCTCAGCCTCCCAGAGTGTTAGGATTATAGGCGTTAGCCACCGTGCTGGCCTGAGTGCTTTTAATAAAGCAAATCATTCACAAACTTCAAATAATAATATTTAATGTGAAATTGGATTCTGGAAAAAAAAATGAGTTCCCAACCTGTAACATCTCATTCTGTTGTTCCTTTATAATAAAATGCAGTAGTATGGTAGGCCAGGTGCAGTGGCTCATGCCTGTAATCCTAGCACTCTGGGAGATGGAGATGAGAGTATAGCTTGAGGTCAGGAGTTCAAGACCAACCTGAGCAAGAGGAAGACCGTGTGTCTACCTAAAAATAGAAAGAAATTAACCAGACAACTAAAAAAATATATAGCAAAAATTACCCGGGCATGGTGGTGCATGCCTGTAGTCCCAGCTACTTGGGAGGCTGAGGCACAAGGATTGTTCGAGCCCAGGAGTTTGAGGGTGCTGTGAGCTAGGCTGATGCCATGGCACTCTAGCCCAGGCAAGTGTGAGACTCTGTCTCAAAAAAAAAGGCAGTATGGAATAAACTTAATAATATGTGCTTTGGAGTCAGACAGAATGTGCTACTTTCTCTAGATATATGACTTTGGGGAAATGGCTCAACTTCTAGGAGCCTCAGTGTTCCCATCTGTAAAACAGGAATAATTAATTGAATTTTTTTTTCTGCACAGGTTAAGTAATGACTTCTATTCTCCCATGCTTGGAATCATAGTCAACTGCATTTATATATAGTGTGATGTTCTAGTTTTTAGGTTAGATAACTCATTATTCCTCATTCCCTGTTGCCTACCTAGTACCTACATTATTGTTTATACTATTTGTCATGGTAGGTTTGGAGAAGAAGTAAATTTTATGACTTATTGGCAATCTAATAAAAGATTTGGTAGGGAAAGATATTAGCAAAACTATTTGGAAGTTATATAGAGAGATCTCAATTGTCTATTGTCATAATTATAAACTATGTACCTAAGTACAGTAAACAAAGTCATGTTACTGAGTGTAGCCAATTCTAATCTAGTTTAATCACCTCTTCCCAGACACTATCAGAGAATGAGTTACAAATAAAATAGTTCCCTTAACTTTTTTTTTCTTTTTCCCCCTCTGAAATTTTATTTTGGATATTGCTCTAGGCTCAAATTACTTCTTTTTTTTTTTTTAGGTTTTTTTTTTTTATTTCAGCATATTATGGGGGTACAGATTTTAAGGTTTCAATAAATGCCCATTTCCTCCCCTCCTCCCACAAGTCTGAGTCTCCAGCATGACCATCCCCCAGATGGTGCACATCTTACTCATTATATATGTATATACCCGCCCCCCCTCCCCCCGTTCCCTTAACTTTAATAAGATAAAAGCTATATTTCAGACTCTTTGTCTCTAAAGCATGGAAGACAAAATTGCCAAGTTAGGTGGAAACATTCTGTACTTACCAGTTGTTTGTTGTGCTGTGGCAGAGGACATGGCTGGGCACCAGCTGGCACCTTGTATACTGGGGTTACTGACATACTGGCAGGGTGGGCACATATGAAGCGCACCTGCACAACCTCTACCGCTGGACTAGGATTCAGGACACCTGGGTGATTTCCAATTCTGAATGTGAGAACCTTAAGGAAATATCAGAGCAAGAGATAATTGTGGGTAGACACTTGATGTTAGTCATGCGAATATAAATGTGTTAGAATTATTCATCTCCAGTATAGAGAGCCCCTTTGGACATTATGAATCAGGCAAATCCCTTATAGATGTTATAGTTTTTAATTATCTGTGCTAAGGGGAATTAAAGGTATCATGAAAATTTAAAAACAAGTGGAACATTTTTAAAAAATCTAACTTTATCAATTACTTTAGTCTTTTCTTCCACCAAATCTTTTGTTACCAATTGGTAAAAAGTGCAAAAACTAATGGGTGTTCCAACTTGTCTCTAGTGGAAGTACTAATGAATAACAGAATGTGCAAACAAAAAGAGTTAGAGAGCTTCAAGTAGGGGTTAATTAGGCCAGAAATTACTAATAGCTCACTCAATAAACTAAGAAGGAAACTACTTCAACATAATAAAAGCGTTATATGAAAAACTCATCATACTCAATGGTAACATCATACTCATACAGCTAACATCATAAAAGACTGATTCAAAAGTGGGCAAAGGATTTGAACAGACATATTTTCTTCTCCAATGAAGATATACACATGGCCAATAAGCACATGAAAAAATGTTCAACATCACTAATTATTAGGGAAATGCAAATCAAAACTAGAATGAGATACCACCTCATACCCATTAGGATGGCTATTACCAAAAGAAGCAGAAAATAATAAGTGTTGACAAGGATGTGGAGAAATGGGAATACTTGTGCAATGTTTGTAGGACTGTCAAATGGTATAGCTGCTGTGGAAAACAGAATAGTGGTCCCTCAAAAAATTAAAAATAGAATTACCATATGATCCAGCAATTCCACTTCTGGAAATATATCCAAAAGAATTAAAAAGAAGGGTCTTGAGGATATAGTTGCATACCCATGTTCATAGCAGCATTATTCATGGTTGCTAAAACTTACTATAAGCAACTCAAATGTCTGTCAACAGATGAATGAATAAGCAAAATGTTGTCTATACACAGAGTTTTTTTGTTTGTTTGTTTTTTGTTTTTGAGACAGAGTCTTGCTTTGTTGCCCAGGCTTGAGTGAGTGTCGTGGCGTCAGCCTAGCTCACAGCAACCTAAAACTCCTAGGCTCAAGCAATCCTTTTCCCTTAGCCTCCCGAGTAGCTGGGACTACAGGCATGTGCCACCATGCCTGGCTAATTTTTTCTATATATATTAGTTGGCCAATTTTTTACTATTTATAGTAAAAATTGGGTCTTGCTCTTGCTCAGGCTGGTTTCGAACTCCTGACCTTGAGCAATCCACCCACCTCAGCCTCCCAGAGTGCTAGGATTACAGGCATGAGCCACCGCACCTGGCCTATACATTGAGTAATATGAAACCTTTAAAAGGAAGGAAATTCTGACATATGCTACCATTAAAACATTATGCTAAGTGAAATAACCCACAAAGAAAAATACTATATAATTCCATTTATATGAGATAGTTAGTCAAAATTATAGAGACAGAAAGTAGAATGGCAGTTGCCAGGATCTGGTGTGAAGCATGGATGGTGAGTTATTTTTTAATGGGTATAGAATTTTAGTTTTGTAAAATGAAACTTATGGAGATGAAACATTATGGAGGTGTATAGTGGTGATGTCTGGACAACATTGAGTGTATTTAATACCACTGAACTATACACTCAAAAATGATTGTGATGTTAAGTTTTATGTGTATTTTATCACAATAAAAAATTTTGGGGAAAACAAGGTAATTAGGCCTAAAATTACGAATAGCTAGTCATATATAAAGTTAAGTTCACTATAAATACTAGAAAGAAGCTTAACTGATCATAGCACATTTTTACTAAGTTAAAATCCTACATTAATTCCCTGTGTGCTGGCTAGCCAGCTGTGTTTCAGTCGTACCTTGAATTCTCTTTTTTATTTTCTTTTTCTTTTTCTTTTTTTTTTTTTGAGACATTGTCTCACTCTGTTGCCTGGGCTAGAGTGCCATGGCATCAGCCTAGCTCACAGCAACCTCAAACTCCTGGGCTCAAGCGATCCTTCTGCCTCAGCCTCCCGAGTAGCTGGGACTACAGGCATGCGCCACTATGCCTGGCTAATTTTTTCTATATATATTTTTAGTTGGCCAATTATTTTCTTTCTAATTTTAGTAGAGACAGGGTCTCACTCTTGCTCAGGGCTGGTTTCAAACTCCTGACCTTGAGGGATCCTCCAGCCTTGGCCTCCCAGAGTGCTATGATTATAGGCGTGAGCCACCACCCCCGGCCCATACTTGAATTCTCAACCCTAGTCAAATTGTAAACCTTTGTTATTGGTTTTGATAGAAGCATGGTACAGCTGTGAATGAGAACTATGCAAATCCATCACTACCTCTAAAAACAATGGAAACGAATTCATGTGATAGAGGGCAACATACTTATTACCCTTATCAGCGTAGATTCAACTGGTTCTTCAAAATTGCTAATCACATATGACACTTCAAAGTTTCCCTTCCTTGAATTATTTGAAAGTAGGAAACCAAATACCCTCTAGATAACAAGTAAATAAATCATAACAATAAAGAGATTGAAAAATAATGTGAAATAAGCTCATTACTACAAAAATATCTTCAATTGTTTAGTGAACTATTAGAATTCTCAGATGAGCAAACTCTAATTTTGGGGTCTGTAAAGGATAAATTTAAATGTTTAAATGTAAGGTTTAAAAAAATCCTTTGATCAATAGTTAGAATTTTCCTATCTAGTCCATGAACTAAATCCATTGGAATCTAAAAAGGAATGCCTGGAAATACAAAAGATTTGGAGTATTGTACTATAGAAAATGTTAGAAAAACACCATTTTCCTACTTGTTCCCCTAAATCCAAGCACAGGACCCGGTAGATGTACTGGTTCTGTTTTCTCTTAGCTGGCAGCCGGACTTCTGTTACTTCAATCTTCTCCATCTTCTCCATGCTCAATTCCAAAAAAAATCGGGAGGGCTCTAAGACCCATGGACGAGGGCCCCCTTCAAATACCACTTCCTTCACGGACTGCCACGTCACCAATGCCACTTCCACAGGGTCTACAGCCTGATGACATTTAAAGAAATTAATCCCTGATAGGTAAGGGAATTCAACAGTTTTCTAAACTGAAACAGGTTATCTGAATATGTTGAAAATGATGTTAGACTTAATTCCCAAATTAAGAGATATGTATGTCATGCCTCTCATCTTGGTACTAATTCAGATCCTATTATTCAAGCCTAACTGACATGTCATCTTATTTGTTAATTTGTGTCCAGTCATTCCAGACCACAGCCACTTCTGCATCCCCTAAGGTCTTATTGTATTTATATCTACCACTCATTTGTATACTGTTCATTGCTTAATGTTATTTAAACATGTCAAATACTATGTATAAGTTTAATAACTCTTTTTTTTTTTGAGATGGGGTCTTGCAGTATTGGCCTGGGTGGTCTCAAACTACTGAGCTCAAGCTACCCTCCTGCCTCAGCCTCCTGAGTAGCTGAGATTACAGGAGCAAGATACTGTGGCTGGCCTAATAATTGTTTTTGTGCTCTATAGTTACATAAACTCCTTAAGAAGAAAGAGTATCTCATAAATAATTTTTTAAAAGAATTTATCTTCCTTAGTGGGATTTAGTACAATGTTGTACACATAAAGGTATTGTATAAATAACTGCATAAACATTTTTTTTTGAGACGGGGTCTCACACTGTGGTGGTGGCTAGAGTGTGGTGGTGTCATCATAGCTCACTACAACCTCAAACTCATTATTATTGAATATAATTAAAATTAAATATTTCTATCTCTAATGGCAGCATTGAATAATTTATGTACAATTCAACAAGTATTCACTGATGGCCTGCTGAGGATATAGTAATAGAAATCCAAATAAGGTCTTACCTCACAGTGGAGCTTACAGTCTGGGAAAGACATAATTGAAGTAGGTAGAGTGTATAATGAGTGTTACAAAAAGACACATTGCAGAGTGCTATACAAGCCTTTTTTTTTTTTTTTTTTTGAGACAGAATCTCACTCTGTTGCCCAGGCTAGATAGAGTGCCATGGCGTCAGCTTAGCTCACAGCAACCTCAAACTCCTGGGCTCAAGCAATCCTCCTGCCTCAGCCTCCCGAGTAGCTGGGACTATAGACATGTGCCACCATGCCCGGCTAATTTTTTCTCTATATATTTTTAGTTTGCCAATTACTTTCTTTCTATTTATAGTAGAGACAGGGTCTCGCTCTTGCTCAGGCTGGTATACAAGCCATTTAACAGAAGAAATGAACATAGAGGTCTCACGGAAGGCCTCTCTGAGAAGGTAAAACAGAAATTATTCCTGTTTCTTAGTTGTATGGTCCAAAACTAATCAGACCAATTGAATTGAACTGGTATGTAAATAGACAAATTGAGAACAGGACAATGTAGTGAAATATAATAATGAGTACAGTAGTATGAGAAGGTAACACATACATTTTTAAGTATTTTTTTCAGCAGGTAAAGGGACAGATACATGACTAAAGTACCAGGTAGAAAAAGAAAAGCACCATCTTACTTCCTTTTTTTTTTTTGAGACAGAGTCTCACTTTATTGTCCGGGTTAGAATGCCCTGGCATCAGCCTAGCTCACAGCAACCTCAAACTCTGGGGCTCAAGCGATCCTTCTGCCTCAGCCTCCCGAGTAGCTAAGACTACAGTCATGTGCCACTATGCCCGGCTAATTTTTTCTATACACTTTTAGTTGTCTATTTAATTTCTTTCTATTTTTAGTAGAGATGAAGTCTTGCTCTTGCTCAGGGCTGGTTTCAAACTCCTGACCTTGAGCGATCCTCCAGCCTTGGCCTCCCAGAGTGTTAGGATTACAGCCCTCCTTTCCTTTAAGGATGGTTTTCATTCAAGGGAGATCTAATTTGTGGACACTCAATAAATATGCAATAAGTCTAAGGACAATGATAAAAGAAAAAACCCTAATGAAACTTTACAATGAGCCACAGCCAGACAAGTAGGATGATTCATCCACCAAGGGAACTAATGAAATATACTAGAACCATATGTTTAATACATATGTTGCACAATCTGCAATGAGGACAACTTACAATGCAAGTTTTAATGAGCAAATTATCTTTTTTTTTAATGAAAAACTTACCTTACTTCTTTCATTAGCGTTAACTTTTTCCCTGTGGGTGCCTTCTTATCCCAAGAGGCACTGAGTCAGGATTTGTACGTATTGATCAGCGAGAACTTGCAGGCATCAATTTTAGCTTCTGATGGAATCAAATATGTAGAAAGCATGCCAGGTTCTACTACTTTTATTTTGAACCACCTGTCATAATATCCCCATTATAAGGGACCAATCCGGGGGCACGGGCAATATACATAACCTTAACATTTGTACCCCCATAATATGCTGAAATTAAAAAAAAAAGAAAAAGAAAAAGAAAAAAAAAATAAGGGACCTCTCCTTAGGGCCCCAAATAATGGCTGCTGTTCTTAAAATCCATAAGTATACAGGGTAAATGATGATTGACTTCCCTCCATAGGACAAAAAGTTATCTTTTAGGGTCGTTTAAAAGGAGTATGCTAATATTCTTTAACTAGGTGTTTACAGAGATATACACATGTAAAAATTCAGATAGTATCTTAAGATTAATGTACTTTATTGTACATATTTTATATCTCTGTAAGAAAGAAGAAAGAAAGGGGAAAATCTAAAGCTTGCTGATACAACTTAAAGATGTGGTGGTTATAATGCAAATGCAATCCTTGAAGAAAAAATTAAAAGAAAAAAGAAAATTAAAAAAATATTAAAAAATAAAAAATAAAAAAAATTATAAATAAAATAAAATAAAATAAAAATGTGGTAGAAACATGAAGGAGTAAACTCCCTGAAACTCAGGTTTGATGAGAGAACTAGAGATCTAAAAACAAAAAAGTGACAAGAAAAAGGCCAGGTGCAGTGGCTCACACCTGTAATCCACTCTAGGAGGCTGAGGCAGGAGGATTGGTTGAGCTCAGGAGTTTAAGACCAGCCTCAGCAAGAGCTAGACCCGGTTTCTACTAAAAATAGAAACATCCAAGTATGGTGGTGCTGCACCTATAGTCCCAACTACTCGGAAGGCTGAGGCAGTGAGGTTGCTGTGAGCTACGCTGATGCCACAGCACTCTACTCAAGGCAACAGAATGAGATACTGTCTCAAAAAAAAAGTGGCAAGAATATAATTATCACTAATCCTTGTAGAGACCATAGATGGTTAGGGTTAAGCCCCAAAGTGGACATAGCTGGGTCCATGAAAAGAAATGCCAGTTCCTTACCATGAAATATCTCACCTTTAGGGGTTCATAAGCAGCAAATGTGGCACTGCTCTCCAAGTACTCTTCATGTTCAGTCACACTCACTGTTACCAGAGTATGGCCCAGAGATTTGGCTGCTATATGTGTACTGGAACAGTGCCTTGATCCAGGTCTTTGGATACCTGTGAATCAAAAGATGTGATTTCAGTAGGATAATAGGCAGGCAGTTCTCAAGGAAATTAGGCTACAGAAATATAAGAATTTTAATATATTAAGAATACCATCCTTCTAACTCTGCGGGGGCAGGAGAGGAAAAGCAAAACATGTAACCTAAACATTTGTACCCCCATAATATGCTGAAATAAAAAAAAAGCAATTGAGCCAAAAAGTGTATCTTTAAGCTCCCTAGAGCTAAAAACAAACAAACAAACAAACAAACAAACAAACAAACAAACAACCCATCTTGATCTCAAACTAACCACTAGGCCCCTATTTTTATATCAAGTTGATATAAAAATCTGTTCTTTCAGGCCAGGTGCAGTGCTCACACCTGTAATCCTATTACTCTGGGAGACTGAGGTGGGAGCATCATTTTAGCTCAGGAGTTTGAGACCAGCCTGAGCCAGAACACAACCCTATCTCTACAAAAAAACAGAAAAATTAGCCAGGCTTGATGGCACACATCTGTAGTCTCAGCTACTTGGAAGGCTAAGGCAAGAGGACCGCTTGAACCCAGGAGTATGAGGTTGCACTGAGCTATGATGATGCCACTGTACTCTACCAAGACTCTGTTTCAAAAAAAAAAAAAATCTGTTCTTTCAATTAACAGACATATCATGTAAGGATATATGGCCATCTTTTGGAAGGCCAAGGCAAGAGAATCACTTGCAGCCACTGATGGAGACCAGTCTGGGTAACATAACAAGATCCTGTCTCTACAAAAAGCAAGAAAAAATTAGCTGGGCATGGTGATGTGCACTTGTAGTTCTAGCTACTCAGAAGGCTGAGAGAGGAGGATCGCTTAAGCCCAGGAATTCCATGCTATAGTGAGCTATGATCAGGGCACTGTACTCTAGCCTGGGCAACAGAACAAGACCCATTTCTAAACAAACAAAAACCACACACAATTCTATGTATAGTGAGGATACATATATGAGCAAATATCCTCACCTCAAGTCATTTATCGTTTAGAAGGAGAGAGTGAATAAGTACAAAAATTACTTAAAATATTGATAGATCATGCTTTAAAAAGGGCTTTATTGAAAAAAATACTCATAGAAAGTGGTAAGCTTAGAATATAGAACAATTATTTCTAGCTGGAGACATCAAGGAAGGTTTAATGTCCATAAACATTGCTTGGTCAAAAATAAAGGGGGGAGAGATATATGGGAAAATTTAACTGAAGTAATTGGTTTAGCTAGAAACATATGAAGCAAAAGTGTGAAGTCATGAAAAGTATTAATATATATATTAAATAAAGAAAAAAAGAATTTGAGGCTGGAAACGGAAAGCCTTCCTATGAGCTAAAAACTGATATTGTTCAGCCACAATGTTATTCAATTTCTATGTCTTGCCGGGCGCGGTGGCTCACGCCTGTAATCCTAGCACTCTGGGAGGCTGAGGCGGGCGGATTGCTCGAGGTCAGGAGTTCGAAACCAGCCTGAGCAAGAGCAAGACCCCGTCTCTACTATAAATAGAAAGAAATTAATTGGCCAACCAATATATATAGAAAATTAGCCCGGGCATGGGGCGCATGCCTGTAGTCCCAGCTACTCGGAGGCTGAGGCAGCAGGATTGCTTGACCCCAGTGTTTGAGGTGCTGTGACTAGGCTGACGCCACGCACTCACTCTAGCCTGGTCAAAAGCGAGACTCTGTCTCAAAAAAAAAAAAAAAAAAGGCCGGCCGCTGTGGCTCACCCTGTAACTCCTAGCTCTTGTGGAGGCCGAGGCGGGCGGATTTGCTCAAGTCAGGAGTTCGAACCAGCCTGAGCAAGAGTGAGACCCCGTCTCTACTATAAATAGAAAGAAATTAATTGCCAACTGATATATATATAAAAAATTAGCCGGCATGGTGGCGCATGCCTGTAGTCCCTGCTACCCGGGAGGCTGAGGCAGAAGACACTCCCGAGCCCAGGAGTTTGAGGTTGCTGTGACTAGGCCTGACGCCACTCGGCATAAAAAAAAATAAAGGCACCACTCAGCCGGGCACAAAGCAGACTCTCTGTCTCCAAAAAGAAAAAAAAAAATTTCTATGTCTTTGTTTCTTCATGAATTTGTGTGTCATCCTTGCGCAGAGGCCATGCTAATCTTCTCTGTATCATTCCAATTTTAGTATATGTGCTGCCGAAGCGAGCATCTATGTCTTTGTTTCTTGTATAATGAGGAGTATAACACCTACTGCATGGCAGTTGATAGAATAAATAAAAGTATTATAAAGAAAGATAATACGGCCGGGCGCAGTGGCTCACGCCTGTAATCCTAGCTCTCTGGGAGGCCGAGGCGGGCGGATTGCTCAAGGTCAGGAGTTCAAAACCAGCCTGAACAAGAGCAAGACCCCGTCTCTACTATAAATAGAAAGAAATTAATTGGCCAACTGATATATATATAAAAAATTAGCTGGGCATGGTGGCACATGCCTGTAGTCCTAGCTACTCGGGAGGCTGAGGCAGAAGGATCACTCGAGCCCAGGAGTTTGAGGTTGCTGTGAGCTAGGCTGACGCCACTGCACTCACTCTAGCCTGGACAACAAAGTGAGACTCTGTCTCAAAAAAAAAAAAAAGAAAGAAAGATAATATGTGAATTTAGACTATAATTGGTAGTTTCTGAATTGATAACTGGTTCCTTTTTCTTTTTTTTGAGACAGAGTCTCGCTTTGTTGCCCAGGCTTGAGTGAGTGCTGTGGCATCAGCCTAGCTCACAGCAACCTCAAACTCCTGGGCTCAAGCAATCCTTCTGCCTCAGCCTCCAAGTAGCTGGGACTACAGCATGTGCCACCATGCCGCTTATTTTATAATATACATATATATATTATATATAGTTGGCCAGTTAATTTCTTTCTATTTATAGTAGAGACGGGGGTCTCAATTTTGCTCAGGCTGGTTTCGAACTCATGACCTTGAGCAATCCACCTGCCTCGGCCTCCCAGAGTGCTAGGATTACAGGCATGAGCCACCACTCCTGGCCGATAACTGGTTTCTTAAAGACAAAGGAAGGAGAAAATTAAAAACCTGCTCTTACCTTCTTTGAAAAGCGTAAAGACTCCTTGCTTATCCATGTTCAGATCCAAGGATAAATGAGAGCAGTCTGTGAATGCAATGGCCTCTTTGGTCTCTTTATTTACATGATACATTGCAATGGGGATTTCTATAAACTGGCCAATCTCCACATCAGCATGAAATGGTAACAGTTCCATTTTTTTCAGTTTTAGGACATATATCTGGAGGGGAAAAAATTCATTTTACAAGAAAGTTACGTTAGGAAAGTCTTAGAAGAAAAGAAATAATTCCTTAAATATTTAAATACATAAGCATGAATATATATATTGTATACAAAAACATACACTATATAAATGTTATTTATATTATTAATATATACTATTTTACACACACACACACACACACACACTAGGTGCTAAACATGTCACTTTTTTAATTATTTGATTGATTGATGTCTTTAAAGCATCTAACACCACACAGCAGGGATCTGGGAAACTATGGTCAGCACATGACTTGTTTTTATACAGTGAGCTAAGAACAGTTTTTATATTTTCAGAGGATTATAAAATGATGACAAAAACAACAAAGAAGAAGATTATAAGATAGAGAGTGTATGTGGCCTGCAATGACTAATGTATTTACTGTCTGGACCCTTTACAGAAAAAGTTTGCTGATCTCTGACTTAGAGTACTTCCTCTTTCTTGATATCTTTTAAAAATATCTTTTGTCGTTTTTGTCACATTATGTGACAAAATTTTCTTCTGCTTCTTCCTTTCCTGCTGCCTATCTCCCTTAAAGTGACACATTATACAGGATCCACTTTCTCTTCTAACTCTATATGTTCTTCCTAGGAAATCTTATCCAGTCCCAAAGCTTCAGTGACCAACCATATGATAACTTGCCAGCTCCGATCTTTCAGTTGAACTTCAGATTCCTATTTCCAACTACAAACATCCATTTGAACGTTCCATTGGTGGATCACACTAAATGTACCCCAAACTAAATTCATCATCTTTCCCCTTTTGTTGTATTTTCTATCCACCCTATTGCCAAAGCTAGAAACCTCCACATCATCTCTGTGGCTTTAAATCTTTCAATTTTCCCCATTCAACTAGGCATCAAATCCGATTAAGTCTACCTGTAAAAAATTCTCCATTTGTCCACTTCTTTTTATTCTCATTACCATTTCACTAGTTGAGGCTTAGTTGGAGTCTTTGCCTTCACTTTCTCCCTCCAATGCATGCTAGTGTACTAGTCTATAGCACCAACAACTATCTTTGTTTAAAAAATACTATAGCTGTTATTGTCTGATCATAAAAATAATTAGATATCTTTCAAAACAGAGGCCTTGTCATATTATTGATCTGTTTAAAAACCTGTGCTGGAAAAAACAAAACAAAACAAAACAAAACAAATCTGTGTTGGTTCCCCCATTGCCTACAGCAGGGGTTGGCTTGCTTCTGTAAAGGGCCAGATAGTAAATATTCTAATCTTGTGTAGGCTACAAGTTCTCTGTGGTAACTACCCAACTCTGTATTTGTGAATGAAAGCAGCCATAGATAATATGTAAATGAATGAAAGTAGCTGAGGTTTTTTTTTTAATTTAATTTTTTTTATTTCAGCATATTATGGGGGTACAAATGTTAAGGTTACATACATTGCCCATGCCCCTTTTCCCCCTCGAGTCAGAGCTTCAAGAGTGACCATCCCCCAAACGTTGCACATCTCAATCATTATGTTTGTATATACCCATTCCCTCCTCCCCTCCTCACCTCCTCCCCTCTCCCACCTGCCTGACACCTGATAAATGTTATTCCTATATGTCCACTTAGGTGTTGACCCGTTAATACCAATTTGCTGGTGAGTACATGTGGTGCTTGTTTTTCCATTCTTGAGATACTTCACTTAGTAGAATGGGTTCCAGCTCTATCCAGGAAATACAAGAAGGTGCTATATCAACCATTGTTTCTTAAAGCTGAAGAGTATCCATGGTATACATATACCACATTTTATTAATCCATTCATGTATTGATGGACACTTGGGTTGTGTTTCCACAACTTTACAATTGTGAATTTTGCTGCTATAAACATTCAAGTGCAGGTGCCATTTTTGTAGAGTGTCATTTGATCTTTTGGGTAGATGCCAGTAGTGGAATTGCTGGATCAAATGGTAGATCTAGAAAGTGCTGAGTTTGAGAAAGCTTTATTAACCAAAAAAGGCAGCAGTCTAGATTTTTACCCGTCAGTCTTAGTTTGCTTCTTTCTCCAAAGTCTTATTCAAGTTCCATCTCTTTCATGATAGTCTTCAACTAGTCCCATCCACAAGGATTTTTCTTTGATAAACTAATAGTACTTACTGTACAATCAAGTATTTCTCAATCACACATTGCTTCTTTTTTTGAGACAGAGTCTCATTCTGTTGCCCTGGCTAGAGTGCAGTGGCTAATCAGAGCTCACTGCAACCTCAATCTCGGGCTCAAGGGATTCTCCTGCTCAGTCTCTGAGTAGCTGGAGTATGAGCATGTGCTATCATGCCTAGCTATTTTTTCTAATTTTTGCAGAGATGGAATCTCAAGCTTTGCTTGGGCTGGTCTCGAACTTTTGACCTCAAGTGCTCCTCCTCCCCTCAGCCTCACAAAGTGCTCAGATTATAGGAGTGAGCCACTGCACTGTCCATACATTGC